ATTCTGGGAGTTGAAGTCCGGACATCTTCAAGTTACCAAGGTTGAGAAACACTGGACTAGAGAACGGTGCTCCAGTGGCTAAGACACTGAGCTTGTCGATCAGAAAGGTCAGCAGTTCGGCGGTTCGAATCCCTAGCGCCGCATAATGGAGTGAGCTCCCGTTACTTGTCCCAGCTTCTCCCAGACTAGCAGTTCAAAAGCATGTAAAAATGCAAGCAGAAAAATAGGAACCACCTTTGTTGGAAAGGTAACAGCGTTCTGTGCACCTTCAGTGTTTAGCCATGCCAGTCACATGACCACGGAGAAATCTTCGGACAGTGCTGGCTCTTTGGCTTTGAAACAGAGATGAGCACCGCCCCCTAGAGTCAGGAACGACTAGCACATATGTGCGAGGGCAACCTTTACTTTTTGGAAAAGTGTTGAATATGCATCAGCCAGCCTTTCACATTAGGAATTGGAGGCGGTGACTCTCGCCGTGACTTCAGTAAGCTTAGTGGTGTTTAAAATTCCTCACATACATAATTTATAAATCCTAAAAATGTGTCTGACCTCTGTATTAGAGCGAAAAGAAATCAAAGGTGCGTATTTCGGGGACATGGGGATTACGAAGATTAATATCCATTCCCACCGAGGAGTAATGCGGGATGGGGGAAAGGATTTTACGAAAATGCCTTTGAACTGTGTTTAAATGATTTGAGAGCTAAATCTCGCTATCAGCTCCAAGCCCCAAGACAAGGAGGGTGGGAAATCTTAGCTAATTTCAGTTTGTTTCAGAGGCTATATGGGTCTGAAAATTGTATTTTCCATCCTCCACATGAAACACCGTGGCATTAAAATTTTTTAAAGGAAATGTGCTAGCCATTAAATGCAGCATGGCTTATTTTTTATTTATTTAGTTTTGTCAGTTTTTATTTTATTTTAATATAAACAATCCATCTTCCATTAAACAGCGTGTCATCTGGGTACAAACATTTTGTGCAATAACAACTAAAGTTTGCAATCATATTCATTATTTGATCTATTCCTAGCTTAACACCAATAGCTTAAATGTCTAATACTGTAACAATCCTGTTCTTGATTTATTTAACTCTATTGATACATTTTCTATATTTTACACTACTACTTTTACTTCTAATTCCTATATTTATTCTCTAACCATCGATAAAATGATTCCCATATAATATAATCAGTTTGTTCTTTCTCTTTAATTGCCAGTGTTTATCTCTTCATTTCTGCTCATTCCAATATTTTCCTAATCACAGTCTCCTCTGTAGGAATCCATTTTTTATTGATTTCTATCCCGCCTTTATTTGTTTTATTTTTTTCAAATAACTCAAGGCAGTGAATCTACCTAATGCAGGCAGTCCTTAGGACTTGCAACCACAATTGAGTTTCCAGATTTCTGTAGCTAAGCGAGACAAATTGTTAAGTGAGTTTTGCCCCATTTTATGACTTCTTTTGTTCAGTGAATCGCTGCAGTTGTTAAGTTAGTAACACAATTGTTAAGCGAATGACGGCTTCCCAGTTGACTTTGCTTGCTAAAAGGTTGCAAAGGGGGCCTGGGATGTTGCAACCGTCATAAATATGAGTCAATCGCCAAGTGTATGAATTTTGATCACATGACCATGGGGATGGTGTAACAATCCTGTGAAAATCGGTCATAAATCTCTATTTTCATTGCCTTTGTAACTTCAGTTACTAAGCTAATGGTTGTAAGTACAATAAGTACCTGTCCTTACTCTATAACTGCTGTGAAGAATTTTGAAAGCCACTTAATACCATTTTTCTTTCTTTTCAACTGTTTTTTTCCCCTTTTCTTGCCCTTTATACTTTTTCTTTAATTTTTTCCCCTTTCCTACTTGATATTACTTTGTGTTAGTTTTTAATCTCCTTGTTTCAAAGTTTGAAAAATTACATGCAAAATTGATTGGACGCCCACACGCTGTGTGTTAAATGAAGCCAGCGGCATAGCTTTAATGTGATGAATAAGCCTAGATTTCGCTTTAGGGGTTGCGTCAACTTCCTCGTTGTCTGAAGAACTCTTGTTTTGATCTGGTATCTGAGATGAGAAAATGTTATTTGCGGTCAACGGGTAACCCAGAATCGGAAAGCAGGCATTGAAACCACATTTTCAAAGTTTTCTGTAGCTGGTAGGATGTACACACTGCAAAGCATGGGGCCTGTATGTGTGTATGTAGACGTACATACATGCTCTATATCTATATCTATATCTGTCTGTCTGTCTGTGTGTGTGTGTGTGTGTGTTGTATTTGTGCTGATAAATAAAGGGAGACTATTTATCAGCACAAATACAACACAAATGTAACAAAGACAACAGTATAAATATTGGGTTTCTGTCTGGATGGTCTCTTGTGACGAGCCAATGGACAGACAATGGAAGTAGTGAACTTCAGCCCATATCTGGGCATATCTGGGGTTGTGACGTTATGTGTGTGTGTGTGTGTGTGTGTGTGTGTGTGTGTG